ACCAGAATGGTAATTCTAGCATTTCTCACTGTTGACCATGCGAGCAGAGATTGGTTGGCATATTTGAACTTCAATACTGCACAACCCTGAGCAGATCCATTATTTTGCTTCAACTCCAAAATGGCTCTAAATGCTGATGGAGATTCTCAAATCATCCCACTCATATGATTGTCCCAAAGATGCTTTTCAAAAGGCAACTAGGCTTTCTTAGTTCTTTTTTTCCCCTTGAAAATATTTCATTTGTCACCCAAGAAGCTTCTTCAGCCCAGTTGTCTTTTCAAAAGCACCTTTGGTTCAAATGGCTTTGTAAATGTTTCTCGTTCCTGCTACCAATGAAATTGCCTTGTATTGATTCCGGTTTCTTGTACATTAAAAGTGGTGTCTACTATCTGAATCATAGTATGCTCCATCTGAAATTGAGAAAACTTTATTATACTTACTAGGAAAAAAAAAACAATCCTTCAACTCAATACTGTTTGCACTGTGACTGATAGGAGATTATTTTACAATTATAAATTAATCTAGCTGGGAACATTACTTTGTTTTGGTGTTCTGATGCTGAGAAGTCTCGTGTTTGGTACCTCTTTTTAGAAGACATGACTGATGTGCTCAAATGAATCCATGCCTGTCCTATAATTTGCTTGCAAGTTTTATCATTTCTCATTTGCTGATTACAGTTTTGTTTCTTAATAAAAACAACAACACACACTCTCATTCATGCCATCATTGACAGATAAAAATTCTACGCTTTAATGGAATTTTTAAATAGAATACGTTCTTTGCAAGTACTTTCACATGAAAGTGTTTCTCAGAATAGAATAAAAGACATTTGCTTTGAAATTCATTCAATTAGTCCATTTTGAAGCTACGTACTTTGGCTAAAAATACAGTCTTAAGATGACACCAACTAGCAAGCATGCATTATATGATGTGTCAACTCATTCCAATGGAGTCGACACAGGAGTTATAATTAATCATTCCCATTAATGGTTTTATTTAACAGGAAGTTAAAATTGGTTAAGGTTTTTTTAAAATTAATTATTCTGGAATGAAAGTCCTCAACTTATGACCATAATTGAGCCCAACATTTCTATTGCTAAGTGAGAAATTTGTTGAGTGAGTTTTGCCTTTTTTCCAATTTTCCTTGCCACAGTTGTTAAGTGAATCACCACAGTTGATAAAGTTAGTAACCCAGTTGTTAAATGAATTTGGCTTCCCATTGACTTTGCTTGTGAGAAGGTCGCAAAAGGGGATCATGTGACTTTGGGGACACAGCAACAGTCATAAATATGAACCAGTTGCCAAGCATCTGAATTTTTATCACATGATCATAGGGATGCTACAGAGGCCATATGTAAAAATGGTCATAAGTCACTTTTTCAGTGCCGTCGTAACTCTGAATGGTCCCTAAATGAATGGTTGTAAGTTGAGGACTACCTGTAATAGTTTATCAAACCAGATTTGGAAACTGTTGGATTGCATCTAGTATGAGGCTTTGGTTCCTTGCACAGAGAAGAGCTCTGATATTGGATATTGTCACAAAACAACATGCAGGAAACCACTTAAAAGCCTTTCCGCCATTCCCAGAAATGAATGGAAATCCCAAACACACAGGAATTCGCCATGCCCAATTCCCTCGATCAATACAGTTCATTTGTAATCATTGAACGTTCTTGATTGTCCTGCAAGTTGTCTTTTCTACCCTTTGTGGGATTGAAAAGGAGATGCAGCCTTTTAAAACCCTTGCAGTGTCAAACGGATCCTTAGGACGGTTGCCAAGAGCTAAATGCTTTCTAGTAACCCCAGGGTGTTGTGGCATGGGTTTGGGCTAAGTTGGTATGAAACTTGGTGTTGGTTCTGCTGTGTACTGGAAGGAATTTCTTGCTTGCTGCTGGTGTCTGAATGTTTCTTTTAATTTTTTTTCTATCTCACTGCTCTTCCTTTGGAGAAGAAGGGGTACACACGGAAGAACTGGACAGTGAACTAGGTAAATCATCCATCTCTCATTTTTTTATTTTTTTATTTTTTGCTACATTGGTTGGACTGCACTACTAACCACTTAACATCTTTTTTTCTTTGTATCACTTTTTCCTTTTTTTTTTTTAATTTCAAGCGTTAACAACATGTAGCTTGCTTCTGCACCAAACAGCGTTTGCATAGGAATAACATTTTCAGATCAACAATGTCCCTGTTATTTTGAGATGTCTTCTTTCCTTCTTCCCTCATGGCATTATTGTAACTTTTTCTGCTTTACATATATATATAGCTATAGGGCATTAAAGGACTTTTTCCATGGGCTGGGTGATGTTCTAATTATTGGCTCCTTCCTGTTTAGTTTTGATGTTAAATTAGGAACTTGAGAGACCGCCTGCTGCCAATTACCTCCCACAGACCCATTAGATCTCACAGGGTTGGCCTCCTCGGGGGCCCCTCTACCAGCCAATGCCATCTGGCTATTACCCGGGGGAGGGCCTTCTCTGTGGCAGCTCC